CACTGACTATGACCATCACCTAGTGCCACAAAACCCTGGAGAGGGGCTCAGGCAGAAGTAACACCAATGGAGACCTGGAGTTCCCACATGAATTGGCAGTAGGGTCTTTAAAAATGATTATGCTTGTTTTTCCACGATTGGAGGCTTATACATTATCTCAAGATACACAGCGGCAAACAAGTAGAACCTTAAACACCAAAATGGCTTGCTGAAAATTTCGCTTCTCCACAAACCTTCCAATTTAAAGGCAGAAACTTTTAGAAGTGAGATGAGTTTGAGACTACTAATGTACCTGTCTGCTTAACCAGCACATCCACATAAAGTAATTTTAAAAATTAGTGTTACATACACAAAGCCTGGTTCACAGCTGTGAATCCTAACCCCTGTCTGACATTTTCCAGAATGAAGTTTAATGTTCCACACATAAATTAACCTATGAAAGCAATTCACAAAACACTGAGCCAGACAGGCAATGCAATGATAGCATAGGACCATGCAGCAGCCATCGCCAAAGCTGTGACTCACAGAATTTGACACAAACTGGTTTTCGAGCCAGAGTAACCATGCTGGTGTAACCAGCCACCTCCCCTGCTTCAGTGTGAAAAAATGCCATTAAAAATAACCTTAATTTAGCAGGGCATCAAGCAGAAAGGTCTCACTTACGCACCGGGGGGTGGCCTGGAGCAGCAGGCTGCTGCGGCAGGGAATGGTGCAGCCAAACCTTCTGTGTCTGACAAGCTGACAACCACCACAGGTTGTGGAACTGAGGAAGTGGATCTCAGGTTTCAGCACAGATGTAGGAAGCACTTCTCCAAACCTCCATTCCCTCCGCTCCCAAGATCACCCAGGTTTTCTGCATTTATTTTCTCACAGCAAAGAGTATGAAGTTTTGGAGAAGCCAGAGACCAGAAGTACCACCACTTTCGCATGCCCATTCCCCTCGTAATTCCTTACCATCCACCCTCATTAGGTGTTTTAGAGGGTGCAACCCTCATTAGCCCTGTACTGGATCCATTCATAAAATAGCTGTCCACTAACTAGTCAAGTCCCTGTTCAGACCTTCTGATACTGCCCACTCCCAGCCTCCTATGACAGCAAGGTATACAAGTCCACCACCCAACAGGTGAACAAACCCACTTGCTTTACTTTTTTCTGCCAGCTCCATCAGCTGCCCTCTCGCTCCAGTACTGAAGATGTGGGCAGTATCAGTTTCTACCATCACCTCACCTACAATTCCTTGACCCACAGTCCCATATCCTTCACACTGCAGCCTCCGTGGTCTCTCCTTGCAAGGCAGCTGCTACAGCTGAAGAGAGCAAGCTGAGGACACCTCTCCTTCCTTGCATCCCTCACAAACCAGGATTGTACAGAGGACTCAAAATGCGGGTACCCAAGAGCTTTGCAGAGCACCAAAGTGACCCTCTCCATCACCCATATGTAATCACTCTTTATTTGGATAAGGAATAAGTTCTTCTACATAGGCCTGGTTAAAAATATTAGCTAGAGGTGTGACAGTCAGATCTTATATCTCCCCTTAATTCAGCAGCCAAAAACTCATGAACTTCTCCAGGTCCACTGTTTTGCTTATGTCTCTGTGCAGGGACTGCATCTGCTTGCAGGACTTGAGATCCGTGCACACACATGGCACACTGCAAATAACTCATATTTATAAGGCAACACCCTTGTACATGAAGCTAACTACCTACTCTTTTTCAGGCATGTTGACTCAGAGTGAGTAGAAGATGCCTTCGTATCAGCACATTAAAGATTGTGATGTATAATAAAATTCTTCATATGCCTTGATAATTTTTAAAGAGCCATGTATTACATAGGCAGAGGCTAGAACAAGATACTGGAACTCTCTGGGAATGCCATCCTAAGAACTTCTGCACTTTTCCTCTTCCTCCTTTCAGCAGCTTCTCTTCCCTTCCAGGGTTTACAGTCAATGAGCCAAAAAATGTTATTAGTCAATTCAGAGCATGCCGTGTACCTACACAATTTATTACAGAGGTCTCACAAGAAGAATTAAAAAGCATTTAGATGGAAAGACTACCTGCACTGACAAAAATCCATTAAATTACTACAGAAAGTGTATCACTTCCACAGAGCATCCCTCCTTAAGTACACACTCCAGCAAGCGCATCTGTCATGCTTCCCAACAGCTGCAAAGACTAAGGTACCAAAGCAACCAGCCAAGCTGCACTTACCGAAGTTCCAATAGCCAACACTGACTTCCCAATGTGTAATACATTGAAAAAAACCACGCTGTGGGGTGGCAGAGCCATTTCAACACATGGATATGGAGATGCAACAGGAACTTAGCCTCCTTTCGTGTATCCATTCTGATTTTTTGAGTTTTGGAGTTACAGCGTTTTGTTGAGGTTTTTCTTTTTGTTTGTTTTGTGGCTTTTTTTTTTTTTTTTTAATATGCAATGCCTTCTGCACAGTAGTCAGTAAGCAGGAAAACCCAAAACATTGAAAAGATCTTAGCAGCACTTCACAAAAAACAGTGCCTTTATCCTATTTACCATAAGCAGCCTTAAGTACCATTTCACAAGCAGCAAGAGACGATAACTATCTGCATTACCTGGCAGTTCTAGATCTCAGATGTGAAAAACCTAAGTTATGATTTTCACCGAGACTCTTTGGCACCCAGTGCACTTACCTGTAGCTCCTGGTTCCCTTCGCTGTAATCATGACCAGCACACAGCAGTAGCAGTCTACACAAGGAATGCTGCCAAAGGGAGCACTCGACCACCAAACCCAGACTGACAGCACTGGCATGACATAAGCAAAAGCAGCATGCAGATGCAGAGCAGAATGGGCCTCCCTGGCACATCTCATCTGCTCACTGCATCTCCTGGAGCCACAGTACTGATGTTGCAGCTCTGGGGCCAGACAGGATCAGCCCTGGGAGGGGGAAGGAGGTGGTGTGCTGGCTCAGAAGATGGGACTGCCCTTCCCAAGGAAGCTGACAAGTAGAATACTTAGCTGTACTGGAAAACAAAGTTGTATTCCTGCTTCATGACCATCAACTGCTTAACAGCCCACAGTGCCTGAAAGACTTAAGTCTGGCTCCTTTCTCTACCCGTTCCCTCCAGCACTTACCCATTCCCAAGGTGGGCAGGGACTGCTTGGCCTTGCTTTCAGAGCAGGACCCCAGACATCCTGCCTGCAGGACACAGATGCTGCACCAGGGTAAGTCATCCCACACTTGTCGTCACTCTCTCCAGAGCTGTGGCTGCAACTCTGCCCTTCAAGGGCAACACACAGCACTTAACCAAACCAAAGCCAAACTATTACTCCCTGCTACGCAGAACATAAAAAGAAGATTAGCCATGCTTTAAATTAATACTGTCACAGATGATCTGCAAGGATCTTAAAGCATGCTGCTCAATACAGGCAAAGGAAATCTAGACAAGAATGTTCTCCATCACCTGAATCCAGTCAGCCCTAGGCTATGATGATGGAGTGCATAAAGCGAGTAGGGCATCAGAATTTCTCCTCACCTACGCAAAGCTGCAGAGATCAGGCCTGCCCAAGAGATACAACCTCTCTTCTGTATTTGTGAAGGTGAAGGTGAAGCTGGATGCTTTTAATGTAAGAATTCAAGTCTTTCAAATTTTCTTTAACTGTCCATCCAGCTAATAAAATCCTGAGCACGGGGAACAAGGAGCAAGTGCTTCATTCTTTATGCAGACTGTTCAAATTTGAACACTAAGCAATTAAGTATGCAGAGACTGATTACAAGCTGCCTAGGTTCTACAGGTGATGGTGATAAGTAGGTCATGGGAGGGTTATCCTGATTTCTCACCCCTACACGCTTTTTGTGATGGATTACCAGCATTACACAAATAAAGTCTTCCAGCCCAGGACAGAGGCAGCAGTAGAGCTGTCTGCTACCTTTGCCATATTCCCTTTATCACATTCCTCAGTTCTCAGCAACCTGATTTTTAGCATCCATTGCTAATTTTTCAGTTGCACAGTCAGAACTGAAACGGGCCAGCAATGTAGCTGAGCATTAAGCTAGACAGAAGGAAGGTATCACCAGCTACAGACCATCAATCCTGTCCTCGTCTCGCACCAGGGAGATGTGTGACCTAGCATATCACAACTGTACCTATTTAAAATGGAGACAGAGAGAGTTTCCTCTCCCTCCCTGATTCTTCTGCCTGATGCTGATATTGTCAAATAACTAATAAAACCTTCCTAAACCCAGAAATTCTGCAGGCTAAAATAACAAAGTTCCAAGATTTTATGTTCCATTATTCTTCCACATGGCACATTCAAACTCCAGCATGAGCAGATCAGGGAAAGCAGACCTAGCAGGAAGAGTTGGGAGATTCATTTACAGTTAGGGAGAAGAAAACATAGTGAAACAGGGAAAAGAATCTCAAATTATTTTCTTGATCATAATGACCACAAATAGCTTGTTAGCCAGTTTGCAATATCCAGATAATTGGGCAGGTATTATGCTTTTTTTATGGGAAATTACATTTAACTGGGAAATCCATCCTGGTTTAGATTAAAAAAAAAAAAAAAAAGAAAAAGAAAAAGAAAAAGAAAAGAACACAGGTAAGTAATTTTGGTTTCATAAATCAGAAATAAACATCTTCCAAACTATCTATCTACCTGTCGCGAGGAAAGCCGGTTTTTTTTACAGTCAGCGCGTTCGACTATGCAAAATCGCCCGGTGTCAAACCGCGACATCTATAAGGTGTGCGTGACCTTCCAGGATTCACCTCTCGTCACCTCAGCGCCGAAACACCCGAGACGAGCAGCTCAGCGCCCGCCGCCAGGGACGAGCATCCCCTCCCCGGAGCGCGGAACTCGCTCGTCCTCAATTAAAGGCTTTCGGTGAGCAGTGGGGATGCTCGCACCACGGAACGCGGCAGCGACTCAAAGTATCAGGTACCTGAGTCACTTTTGGACACGGCGCTGGCTTCGAGCCCGTGGCAGCCCCGGAGAGCTGCGAGCAACCCGCTGTGACAGCGCAGCAGCGCTTGTACCAAGGACCGCATAACGATGGAGTCCTTAGTTTTGGCCGGGAGGCGCGGCGGAGTGGGGCTGGAAGTTCGTCAAATGCCACGGAAAGTGCAACAACCGCCGCCC